GCCGTTTCCTTAGGATGATCCTTAGGAATGAATGAATGAGGAATAGCTGATTCTTAGGGTAAAATCCTTAAGAAGATAATGAGGATGGGTAATGGGTTGATTGTTTGATGTTTTAAACATAATAATTATATTATTGTGGGTTGAAAACCCTATGTACTCACCAGTTTCCCAACCTGACCCAGTCCAGCTATTTGTATCACAGGTGTCGATATGAAGTTCCATTACACTGAGAGATAAGGAGATAAATCACTAGCGATAATGAATGTAGTTCTGTTTATGCTTATGTTTCTGTATGACAATGACATCCCAACGTTTTTAAAAGGACATAAAATACATTTATTCGGAAATGCTTTGATAAACGTATTTATCGTGTTTTCCTCGGGAACCAATTCCAAAACATTTTTCTTAAAAGAGATACTCTGATTTTTATAAAGCATAAAGAAAATCAGCCTTTTCTGGCCGTGAAAATGGGGATGTCACAGTGGTGCTGTGGGAGTGTTGTGGTGGCAAAAAATTCGGCAGTTGTGGTGGTGATGATAACAACCCGAAGTTAGAGGTTAACAAAGCATAATACACAAAATCAAACACCCAAATCATTAGATAGTCAATGGAGAGAAAAAAATCGAAAAAATGGAGATAAACACCTATAAAACAATGGAGCTTGCGATGGAAAAAATCTCGATAGAGGCATAATATAGGGTGAACTTGAACACCTATGTAATAGTTTCAAGAAATAATAATACCTTCGTTTGGTTATCTGATGTGTTAAACTGTTATGTGATTTCTGTATGGTGACTTGGAAAACTACGAGACAATACTTGGGACGAGTATGAGTAGGTGTGAAAGGTAGTAGATGCATATACTACCGGAAGCACAGGACTCACGCTTGGATCAGGGAAAGTCACAAGGTTACCAAGAAGCTAGTAATTGATTTCGTTTTATTCAAGTATGTCGTTACCATCGTTTCGGTAATGATTAAGAAGATGATTGTTATTCCGACCCTAGTGGTCATATCGAATTGAGTCCGACTACGATGAGTATGATACGTGGTTCAGAGAACCAAGTTTGATGTGGCATCTGACTTAAGCCGGAAGATTAAAATAAAAGCGATCGGTAGAGGTATCGCGATAGTTTCTTGTAGCTAGAAATGCTACCTTTTAAGATGAGATTAGAACATGAAGGAAAGTAAAGTCTGTTCTGGAAAGCTCTAAGAGACCTGAGTCTAAGCGTTACAATATACGATGATAGGTCATTAGAATACGACACATCAATCCATTGTAGTAATAAAAGAACTTATCTTCAGTTTGCTAAGAATAAGGAGTCTCCAGAGAGATTGTGACTCGAATGTCATAATTTGGAGTCTAACGAGCAGGTACAAGATCGAGTGCCACTTGCAGTCAAGGAGTCCAAGAGTTAGATACTCGTTTGAAGCAACATAGAAGTTACGATTATTACCTAGGATGAAGAGTTAACGTATGGAGTCATTATACAATCTTGTTTCGTTGATGATTCTGGGATGTAATTATCCTAAGAGGGAGATGATTGTAACGCCCGTAGATCCGGGCTAGTCAATTTAGAGATAATAGGGGTCAAAATGACTTTTTGATAGAAGGCTATTTAGAATGAATAGTCTTAATAGAAGTTGTAGCATATGTTACAAGGATTCCGTACGTATAAAGGACGCCGAAATCCGAGTTATAACGAAGAAGTTATGACCCGTCGAAGTTTCGCGACGAAACCGACACGACACCGGGAAGCGTAAATAGTGAATTTACGATAAAAACGACTTTTATCCTTAATAATCTAAACGAAGGTCGTAGAATATGTTAAACCGAGAGCGTCCATAAAAAGAACGCCCAAATCTGACTTCGTATGAGGAAGTTATGATTTTTCAAAGTTTCGGCTTAGCAGTGTACAACCCGAAGTTCGAATATTAGATCGAGCGGTTTTTAGCCGACACAACCTAAACGAGAATCGAAGATCTCATTAATAGTATCATAACGATAAAAAGACAGACGAAAACAGACGTCGGATGAAGGAGTTATGAATTTTTAACGGACCAATCGTGTCCCAGCCTGTTAAAAATATAATTTTTTAAAATAGAGTCAAAATTAACTGAAGGAATCTAAAGGAAAGTTGTAGAGTACATTCCCGCCTACGTGTGGATATAAAGAACGTCGAAAACGGAGCTCGTATGCGAAAGTTATGATTTTTAGAAGTCGGAAAGGGAAATTGCGAAACCTGCTGCTCGATCGATTACGTGGCCGGATTCTAGCCGCTGCTTGCTGATCACGCTTCGCCTTCGGATGCTGACACCTATACTTCGGACGCCCAGCGTAGCCAAGAAGCGCCTCGCGTACGAGGTACGCCCCGCGTGTGAGAAGGGAGCGCTGCACGTACTCGTTCTGCTTGGTCCGAGGAGTGGCCACGATGCACCACCAACGAAGCGACGCATGTCGATCTTATCCGAGGCTACGCCCCGTGTAGCAGTTCCGAACGCCCAATGTTCCGAGAGGGCTCGCGCCTATAAAAGGCATGCGAGGGCTGCCGACTTCCTTGCACATTTCCACCTTCTTTCTCTCACTAGTTTCTCTCTAAGGCTCCTAAACCCCCCCTAAAACCTAGGTAAACCCCCTAGCACCCGAAGGAAGCCCCGAGGCTCCCGGAGTCCCGAGAAAAAGGGTCTTTTGGTTCGGAAACGCTGCTCCAAGCGAAACCCGATTTTCTATAAAACCCGCTGTAAGTGAGCTACGCCTACACTATTTTTAATATAGCATTTATTTAATTATAGTAATGTTATTAGGGTCTTATAATAATTATTTGCGCTATTATTATGAGTTATATAATATTGTTTAAAGCTTATATAATAATAATAATAGCTAGACTATTAATTAGTCTCGGTGAATATTGAGCTAAACCCTAGTGGTAAGGATACTAGGTTTTGTCGAGGAAAATTGTTTTAAGAAGTAAGAAAGCGCTGTCCGAATTCAGAATCACCACCTTATCAGGTGAGTGCATAGTTACTTTCATCTTACACATAGATATGAAGTATTTTATTTAAATTACGTGCTATGTGATATTGTCTGAATACTTGTGTCTATGTTGCGTGAAAGATTTTTATACATGTTTTAATGATTTAAACTGTATATGTATTTATATCTACAAATATGTGGGTTATAACATGGGTAATGAATGATGAGAGACGAGCTGATATATAGAGGAACATTGGTAGTGTGGACATAGTGCGCTATAGGTGGACATTGGCAACAATGGACCTAGTACCCTATAGATGAGCATTGGCAGATGCGCCATAACCTGTAGATGTTTATGGATCTATGAGGTACTCTAAACATCCTAGCAGCTGTGCTCTAAGGATAGTATCGGCAGCTGCGCCTAATAGAGGACATTATAACCATGACAGTAGCGTTTAAAGGACAATACCGACAGAAGCGCCTCATAGAGAATGTCACAATTCTGGAAGCTACGCCTAAGTGATAATATTAGCAGATGTGCTTGACAACTGTGGCAACGTAGGACTTCGTGCCGTTTCCTTAGGATGATCCTTAGGAATGAATGAATGAGGAATAGCTGATTCTTAGGGTAAATCCTTAAGAAGACAATGAGGATGAGTAATTGGGTTGATTGTTTGATGTTTAAACATAATAATTATATTATTGTGGGTTGAAAACCCTATGTACTCACCAGGTTTCCCAACCTGACCCAGTCCAGCTTATTTGTATCACAAGTGTCGATATGAAGTTCCATTACACTGAGAGATTAATGAGATATAAATCACTAGCGATAATGAATGTAAGTTCTGTTTATGCTTATGTTTCTGTATTGACAATGACATCCCAACGTTTTAAAAGGAATAAAATACATTTATTCGGAAATGCTTTGATAACGTATTTATCGTGTTTTTCTGGGAACAAATTTCGAAACATTTTTCTTAAAAGAGATACTCTGATTTTTATAAACATAAAGAAAATCAGCCTTTTCTGGCCGTGAAAATGGGGATGTCACAGTGGTGCTGTGGGAGTGTTGTGGTGGTGTTGTGTTGGCAAAAAATTCGGCAGTTGTGGTGGTGATGATAACAACCCGAAGTTAGAGGTTAACAAAGCATAATACACAAAATCAAACACCCAAATCATTAGATAGTCAGTGGAGAGAAAAAAATCGAAAAAATGGAGATAAACACCTATAAAACAATGGAGCTTGCGATGGAAAAAATCTCGATAGAAAATGACAGCTGTGGTCGGCGATGCTGCTTCTATCACCGATGATGGCACTCTTTGTCGTCGACGGTGATAGACGCTGGGAGGACTTGGATCAATTTTACTATCTTCAACGTCAATGAGAATGGAAACAAGACATAATACAGAAAGCGATGGAGAAAAAGGGTATATATGCGCTAACCTTTAGCGGTGGCGGGGAGGCTTTAGCGGTGACATTAGGGTTTTAGCAGCGACACCATCTGGAGGGAAAACATACCACTTTTTTTTAGGAGCATTATCGGCAACGATGTCGCTGCCATTGATGTTGCTGCTTATACTTAAGCGATCTTCATTTGTCAGCCACTGGATTAGGTCCAAATTAACGGATAGGGTTAACCAATTTCTTTTGACGCGGATCGTTATTTTCTACCTTTAGTGGCGACACACACTTTTAGCGGCGACAGGTAATGCACAAATTACGTGTTGTCGCTAAAAATGTGCGTCACCGCTAATGGGATCTTCGCTATTGCTTTCGTTTCTTGTAGTGGGTTCGGTCAGCTCGAAGAAGTTGAGGATATATATTATGATTTTCGATAAGGGTGCATATGTGGTTTGGGGCATAAACCCTATTATAATGTACATAATTAACTTTTGTTCGTTGTTTAACTTGGTTAATATGACTTGAAGTTTAAATAATCACTTACATAAGATTCTAATATTTTAATTTTGTAGCATTTTTGAGTTCAAACAAAATAAAAGGTTGTTATAATAACACATGCGTTTCACTCAAAATACGTTATCCATGCTTTTCACTGATCCACAAATAGATATCACAATCCAAAACCAAGTTATTTTTAATATCCATAATTTTCAAACATAATTTTATTGATTCCCTCATGCATATAATTGGGGAACTAATTATATAAAGTAGCAGGCCTTCAAGGGCACATGGGTCTTCCAGCTAGAGTTTTCATATCAGTGTAGCACGAACCACACATCTCTCTGTTTCCATATTGTCCTGGAACACAGTTACAACGACGACAGCACGCCATGCAACTTTGGTGGCATCTTTCTTGCTTCAAGTCTAACTCGCACCTTAACTTGCATGATGAAAAACACTCTACAAGATATGATCAATCAATCATTACGGATTATATATATATATATATATAATATATATATATATATATATACTATATATATATATATATATATTGTAGCTCAGGTTTTAATGGAAATGTTTAGTCGTTAATACATATACTAGTACCTTCCGAGTTTAATGCTCGCTTGCTTATCAGTGCAGCAATATTGTTGCAAGGTGGTGAGGGGCTAGGCGTGACAGGGTAAGATGGTGACATATTTGGTGAGGGAATATATGGAGGAATGATGGGTGAAATGGGATATGATGGAGTGATTGAGGGTGGGACAATGGGTGGTGGCATATTAGGTGAATTCGGAGATGGTGGAGTTGAGGGTGGAGGTGTGGTGATGCAAGGTGGCGGGGGAGGTGGAGTGTTTGTTGGATATGGAAATGGTGAAGGTGCCGGCGTCACTGGTACTGTAGGAGAAGGTGCAGGTGGAGTGTTTATTGGGTATGGTGGAATTATCGGTGGTATCAGCGGAGGTAATGGTGTTACAGCAGGTGGAGTGGTGGGTGGATACGGAAGCAGTGGAGCTGGCGGTGGTGGAGTTGTGCTGTTGCAGGGAAAATCGGGAGCAATACTAGGCGAGATCGCCGGAGTAGGAGGGAAAATGGGTGGGTTTGGATACGGCGGATTATAACCATGTCCATCTGGTCCTTCATTAAAGGGCGCTGGCGATGGTGAACTAACAGGAGGGCAAGCTAGCACGGCGGGGGCAGGTGTGGGTGAAATAGAGGGTGCTGGAGTAGGTACCGGTGGGTTTGGAACGGGTGAAGGTGCATAAACTGGCGGAGATACGGTGGGTGAAGGCGGAGGTGTGTTGTTACATGCTGGTGTACCTGGAACAAGAATGGCTGAAGAGAGTGGTATGGAAATTGGTGCCGCAAACCCAACATGTGTAACCTATATATAATAATACACGAATTAAAAAATTAGTGACTTTAAATAAACGATCATCTTCAAAAATGGTAATATATAGTTCGTATAGCTTAGGTTACACACGTTTTCATATTTAAATATAAACTAAATATGCATAATGCACAAAACATCCATGCATATCTTATATATAACCAATTGGAGCGTCAACATGAATTGAGAATATGCAATCATGTTGTAATTGATACAAGTATAACTATAATAATATATTAATGGATAATGCTAGCATGCAATAACATATTCATTTTGCCAAATGTATGAAACTACACAATTTATCGATCATTTTATCTATTTTGCCCAGATTATGACACCTCATTATTATTATAGTACCTTGCAATGAATATTGTACATCGCGCATGAAACGTGTCCATTATTTATTGAAATTACACAAATAATAATCATTGAATGAATGATACAAACATGACTTAACAAAGCAAGCAGCCACGCAGTGAACACAAAGCGAACTATTCTTTCGCCTTTTACTAAAAAAAAAAAAAACATGACTTAACAATCTCATATCCATGTGAACAGTTAGTTTATAAACATAAATTCCGTACATTATGCAAAATAATCTTTATGTTATGCGAATGAAACTTAACAAAACTTCCCAATGAACCTTGTACATTATGCATTGAGCCTTGTATGTTATGCAATTGAAAGTTGTACAATCTGGAATGAGTACCTAATTATTTGATGAAATGTGCAAAATATACAAGATTAAAGAGGGAAAACGAAACTTACAAAAGTTGCGACCAAGAGAAAAAACGCCAAAAGGAAGCAATGAGACTTCATGGCTATGAAAGTAAGAATGAATGACTGAAGATTGGGATGATTCGAATAGAGGTGATTTCGTAGTGTATATATAGAAGAAAAAAGCGAGTAAAATTCATTTACGTATGGTTATAAATGGGTACAACTTTATAAAAGTTTGAAATTTGAAGTGTTTTGCTTTTAGACTCCCATACCTGTAAGATGTGAATATAAGTGTATTCGATAATAAAACAATATTACCAGAGCTTGACAGTAGATCTTTATAGTTTTATAATATTATTAAAAGTATTGAGAAAAATAGTTATGATATATGCAACTTAATTTTAACGTTTAATAAAGATAGTTAAAAGCGAGTTACTATCATATACATTGCTATAAATTTAGAGGATAATAGTTGTATATAATTTATGTAGTAAACATTTAGATATTGATATTGGAAAAAAGTTCCTTATATTTATTTTCAAAATGAATTAAGAAAATATTTATGATATATGCAACTTTTAGGTTTAAGAAATATAGAGTTTACAACGAGCTACTATCATACACATTGATATAAATTTAGAGGTTAATGATTGCATATAATTATGTAGTAAACATTTAGATACTAATATTCGAAAATAGTTCCTTGTATTTATTTTTAAAATGAATTAAGAAAATAGTATATGCAACTTTTACGTTTTATAAAGATAGTTTATAACAAGCTACTATCATATATATTGCTATAAATTTAGAGGATAATGATTGCATATAATTTATGTAGTAAACATTTATATATTAATACTCGAAAAAAGTCCCTTCTATTTAGAATGAAAGAGTCTTTATGTGAATTAATTCACAACTACAAAAATTATTTTGTAAAAAACCAATCATGAGGTTAAAATGCATTTAAATGTATTTTAGACAAAAGATTTTAATCAACCGTGTCCACGATTAAATATAGGAGAACCGATATCTATTTTCTTTAAATGTATATTATACAAATGTATTATTTATTTCTATTACAAAACTATATTTTTAGTTTTTTTTTTCAATTAAGCTACTATATTATTTTCCTTTACCCAGCGATAACTATTTATATCAAGATGTTATATTTTCAAGTAGCAAAAAAAAAATCACTAGAAAGTTATATTATAATCGAATGACGCTAAAAATTAGATAAAACATTTACATTAGTTAACCATTGCATTTATTTTATTGTTTTGAAGTGAGCTAACAATTTTTTTTTTCCAAACTTATAAAACTAGCTAAAAGCTGGAGAAAACAAACAAAACAATTAGTTCATAAGCGGATTTTGCATCCACCAGGTAAATGTTTTTCTAACTTTACGATTCTTGGTGGAAAACCAATTAAACGAAAAAGAAATGATAGAATCAAACATGAACTCCTTGTACTTCTTGTTTTCAAAAACTTGCATGTTTCGGTACGTCCAAAGAACAAAAATCAACGTATCACAAGCCACCTCAATAATCAATCTCCAAGCATTTGTAACCACATGCGCACCTATCATACGGAAAAGATCTTCCATGGAATCGAAAATCGTAATAGTCAAATATAGCCATCTTGATGGAATCGAAACTCAGAATCGTGAAATGAAACCATCTCTCCAAATTCTGCCAAAGATGCAATGCTAACGAGCATTTTAAAATACATGGAAAACATCTTCTAACACCTCCCCTCAACACCGACATAAAAGAGAAGGTAACTTAACACCTTTTGATCGAGATTGCAATGTGTCGTTAAACAGTCGAGCAAACTCTCCAAATAAAAATATTATTTTTTATAAGAAGGAATTTAGTCCAGCTACTAGCTACACCACCAACAGGGAGGGCAATAAGATCGAGCCTAGCTTTAGTTGCCATCCCGAAGAAGAAATCATCTATCCCGATAACCCACCTCTAAGAATATTGTCTATTAATATGTTGAACAAAGTCCAACATCTCCATAAGTTGATGAAGTTGTGCCTCCAACACCCCACCAAGAATAGATCTTCTCTAGGTAATTACCCAATCCCTATCTGTCCAATACTCAGAAATATGAGCATTGTTAGTAACCTCCAAAGCAAACAGTCTTGGGACCTAGCACTCAAAATCAAATCTCCCAACCAAAATTTAGTATCTTCACCATTATCAACTTGTCACCATTAGCCACACTATCTATCCAACTACTAATGCCATAGCGACTTTGTGACTCTTCCTTATCTAAGTACGAGTTATGTGCTTTAGGTAGTATAAGCCTCTTCTAGCTTTCACACATACTCCTACTTGTCCCCAGATTTGCCCCGAAGTTTCAAAGTCACTTTTCAACACTACACATGATGATTGCTAAACATATATATATATATATATATATATATATATATATATAATATTATATATAGATATATATTATATTATATGATATATATATATATATATATATATATAATATATATATATATCATATATATATATATATATGTGTGTGTGTGTGTGTGTGTATTTATGTGTCCCAATAAGCACATAAAACATACTTTCCTAGACTTTACTAGGATTTTTCATCTCCACCGATGCCCTATCAAGCACATACTATACTTCCTAGACTCTCCTTCTAGGATTCCTTCCACTTCACCTTGCTATCAACTGATAAAGTGTTGGAAAGAGTGTACAAGGTCATTAACTATTGATAATATTTGTAATAATAACAGGGTCCTTTTAGGTTGCACTCAAGACCCACATTGAGTAGAATAAATAAAGGAGAAATAGGTTTATTAATTATTATGGTTAATAATTAATTATAAACTAATTGGAAATATATTTGGGAAGTAATTAACAGTTTAATTAGTTAAAGGGTTGAATATTAATTGATCGATAGTTGGTTCATCAAGAATGTTCCAGAACCCTTATTGAATTAGGGTTGGACGAAAATCACTCCATTCCACATGGGAAAAGGAGTGAATTTCATGGTTGCCTCCTTGTCTCACATGGGAAGGACTACAAAACCAAGAAAGACATCAAAGGCTATAAATAGGGCCTTAGGGATTTCATTCTTCCTTGCACCTTGGCTTGAAGTTTCACCAACTCTTCTTCCTCCCCTTCTTAGGGACGATTTCTAACCCTCTTAGGGTTTTTGAAATTGACCCTTCTCGTATATATTTTTATTCCACTATTTGGGGTCATCGGGTGTGATATCATTAGAGGGGTTCTGGTTTGGGTCCTCTCATCCAAGCAACTTCGCGGGGGACGAGATCTCAAGCATGGAGATCAAGGGCTATATAAGAGGTATATTTTTCTTCTTTGTATTTTTTTCTAGGGTATATGTAATTAGCATGAAACCATAGATCCATACGTTGCATGTGCACTTAGGTATATCATAGTTTCGGCTTTTCCGCTAGCTACTTTAGAGTGTATTTGATGCTTAAAAAACCCAATAGTGATATCAGAGCCATTGGTTCATGATTACATTTGCCCTAGATCCACGTTTTCTGTAAATGCTTGTTGAAATTGAATGAAAGAATAATTATTGAAAAATTCGTAATTGTTAAAACCATTAGTCACAGCTCACGACGTGAGAGGTTTATGCTCACGACATGAGCAGCCTATATCAGGGTTTCCTTATTTTTTCATTTTTCAAATTTAAAGATTTATTAAATATGAATAATTACCAATTTTAAATTGTTTTAAATCGGGAAAATAATAAATAGTATTTAATACAGATTTAAATTTGAATATTTATTTATTATTTAAATAGTGAATTTAAATATTTAATATTATTTACAATAGAGATATATAAATTTGAATATTAACCCCTCGTTATTTATTAATTGTTACATTGCGTCCTCGCAATTAACTAGAATTAATAATATACAACTAAATTTAAAGAGTTTAAATGTGTCCCTTATATATTAGAATTGTCTCTACTATATGTATAAGAAAATTACAACATGTGTCCTCGCATATTTAAATATTGGCATTATTAGTATTGCAATGACTAGACTCACCCATTCTGATGTAGGGGTTTAAGGAGGTTTCTTTGATTCCTAATGAGTTTGGTTTTCAATATTCTTCGCGCTTACCACCCTTACCGCCCTATTGCATTTTGAGAATGAAGTTACAGAAAGGGCTTGATAGTGATAACGGTCAATCTAAAAGTATTCTAAATACAAGTATAAAACAAAATCCCGTTATATTAATATAATTTAAGTCTCATATTATCCATGAAAATTGCACATTCTTTTTATATTCTGTTGATGGAGCTCTTGTGGTTAACCGATAGTTTATTCTAGAGTATAGTTGAGAATGATATGGAACTCATGAATCTCAAGCATAACTTGAGTCGGGGAGCATGCGATTTTTCATGGTTAATTCACAATCTATTTAATTTGAATCTTATATTATCCATAAAATTTACACATACTCTTTACAACTTGTTGATGGAGCTCGTGTGGTTAACCGACACGTCAATTTGAGAGTATAGTTATAGAATGATGTGGAACTCCCGAATCTCAAGCGATACTTGAGTCGGGGACCACACGATTTTGTATGGTCGATTCACCATTTGTTTAGTGATCTACAGCGACCCCCTCATTGAATTTGAGATGAACATAATCCGAGATTAACATGTCATTGATAGTCAATGAATCTTAACGATCTAGGAGTTTCGTGGTGATCAAAATTGGAAAAGGGCTTTGCCTGCCTAAATAACTTTATTGTGTGTTTATGGAATCCGTTTACATATTGTAAAGCCAAATATGGATCCTAGCCTTCTTAAATAATTTTATTTAGGGTGATTATTTTATAAAGATAATTAAAAAAAAACTATAATGGGAATTGATATTGAATGATGTCTATAACCTTATCCACTAAAATCCATTGATATAAACCTTTCAAAGGATTAACTATGAGGATGATCAATCTTGCTAAATTCGTAGTTTGGGAATAGTTCTCATAAACGAAAAAAAATCTTGCCTTTGATAAAGCGCTTCCTAAAGTTACTCCAAACATTGCATTCTAAACTATTAGAAATACCGGTTATCAAATATACGTTACTAACATATTGAAGTAAAATAGAATTTTCTTGAGTTAGG